AATCCTGTTTGTTGTCTGTGCACATCTAAAATTCCTGCTGAATGACCCGCCCTGGGAGCGAGTTTCCAGTGACCCAGGGCTGCAGCAGAAGGAGGGTGCAGGTGGGGGGGAGAGAGCCCAGGGCTGGGGCGACAGGAGATGTGTGTCGGGGGCAATGGTGGGGGGGTAGGGGGGAGCACAGGGCTGGGATGGCAGGGGGGTGTGGGTGGGGGGGGGGGGGGGAGGAGCCCAGGGCGGGGACGGGGGGGAAGCCAAAATTTTTTTTGCTTGGGGCAGCAAAAAACCTAGAGCCAGCCCTGGTTCACAGCGGTTCGTCCAGGACTGGCCACGTGTGCCACCAGCCTGCGGCCCCTTCCCTCTGTCCAGGTTCTGCGGCTGCCACTGCCCGGCCCCCTTCCCTCCAGCCCACGGCCCAGTGGGGCTGTTGTCACGGGGGGGGGGGGAAGAACCTCAGGGGGACTGCGCCCCCTGCTGTGGGGGCAACCGTCTGCTCACTCACTCTGGGCTGGAGGAAATAGGGGATGCTGAGGAGGGCAGGGCCCAACACCCAGACCTGCCCTGACCCCAGGAATGGGGTTTAGAGAAGAGCCGGACCTCTGAGGGATGAATCTGGGGCGAAAAGCAGCTTCCACTCTGGGGCAGAACTGGGGAAAGGAAGCAGAGCAATTCAGGGATGTCTCCCCAAAGAGTGACCAGGTGTCCCCACCCCATAGAACAGCCGCCCCCTACATGGGGGCTAAACTGTGACCGATAACAATCCTGTGTGACCACAGCCCTGGCACTTGTGAGCAACCCTACAATAACAAACCCACGTGATCACGGCCCTGGCACACATGAGAACTGAAGAGCATAGGAACGGCCCTACTGGGTCAGACCAAAGGTCCATCTAGCCCAGTGTCCTGTCTGCCGACAGCGGCCAACACCAGGTGCCCCAGAGGGAATGAACAGAACAGGGAATCATCTAGTGATCCATCCCCTGTCACCCATTCCCACCTTCTGGCAAACAGAGGCTAGAGACACCGTCCCTGCCCAGCCTGGCTAATAGCCGTTGATAGACCTGTCCTCCAGGAACTGATCTAGTTCTCTTTTGAACCCTGCTTTAGTCTTGGCTTCACAACACCCTCTGGCAGGGGCAGGGCCGGCTCTAGGCACCAGCAAAGCAAGCAGGTGCTTGGGGCGGCACATTTGCAGGGGCGGCATTCGGGCCATCCTTTTTATTTATTTTATTTTGCTTGGGGGCTGGCCACAGCGCCCCATAACACTCACGTCCTCCCCTCTCACAACCCTGCAGAACTGCAGCCACCGAGCAGCAGCGGGGACCCAGCCTGGGAGCTGAGAACCCACGGGGGGCCCTGGCAGCTGTAGTTCCTTCGTTAGCTCCCTGCCTATAGAGCCGGCCCTGGAGCAGGGAAGGAACTACGTTTCCCAGCATGCCCTTGGCCGCTAGCCACAGGAAGGGAGGGGGAGGGAGGGAGGTAGCGGAGACCCCATGCGCTGCAGGTCGCTGTGGATGGAGAGCTGGCTGCTAGAGCGGGGGGGGCCCGGGAACGGGGAACAAGTGTGCCCAGGAGCAGGCGGCTTTGGCCCAGCTCTCCCCTTCAGAAGACAGCCCCAAAGACAGCCCCAAATAGGGTGACCAGCCGTCCCGACCGAGCTTTGGGCGGGACGCAGTTTGTCCCGATATCAGCCGCAAGCACCGTGCTGGTGTGTTTTGCTCAGCCAGCAGGACTCTGCCGGTGGGCACCCCCCCCCCCATGTGTCCCGATATTTTCTTCCCTGCATCTGGTCACCAAAGAAAGAACTGGGGGGACTAAATGGACAGTGTAGGGATACAAAAGAAGGTACTAACAGTGATTCCCCCAAGTGACAGTGACCCCCTCATAATTTGTCCCCCACACTTTAAAATCCAACAGTTTCACCAAGTACAAAAAACTCTTGGGTCTTCTGTTAAAACTTGTAAGCTACTGTCTGTAGAAACCATTGATTAGATCTATCCTGTGAAAGATACTTTACTACTATGTAAAACTTAGAAACAAGTTAACTGACTTTGTTCTTGAAGTGATTGATACAATGTAAACAAACACTGTAAGCTGTTAAGTGACTTTCACTTCATTCAACGGCTCCTAGGACAGACCCCTACCCTCTGTGATTAAAGGGCCGGGAGTCTCAAATGAATTAGCACACACCCCGAAAGTGGTGGAGACAGTAAATTAAAATATGGTTAAGATATGGAATGTATGTTGATGAATGCTTGATGTACATGAATGGTTAGGGAGGTGCCAGCCTAGAAAGGGAGTATCCATCGGCCGAAGAATGTGTCGAGTAGGACCACCAGACAACCCCCTGAGGGTAAACTGGGATCCACCCCATCACCTGGAGGGATGAGAAACACAAACTTGGACAGTGTGGAGCCACCAGGAATGTGCCACTTTGGACAGGAATGTGCCATCTGCTGATTGAGTCAGCAACAACAGGATGAAACAGCTCCCATAGACTAACATAGGAATTAATTCCTATAAGAATGGACTCTAAAGACTGATGACTTTGAGTCTCTGGTTCTGCTGCCAACCTCCAGGAGCATCAGGTGCACCTGACACAGACTCAGCTCCATCCTCATGACCAAGATACCTGGCCAGTAACTTGGCATGAGCAACTTCTAGGCTGGTAACTATAACACCTATACAGAACTTGAATGAATGATTGTGTGAATGAACCTCTCTCTCTCTCTCTCTCTCTCTATATATATATATATGTGTGTGTGTGTGTGTGTGTGTGTGTATAAGAAATAAGTAGTCAAACAACGTTGTTTACTTTTATCTTTTGCTTTATCAGTATATTTACAATCAATGTGGCATCTTTGCCTTATCCCTCTTAATAAGATCCTGCTGGTTTTTATTCTATTGGTATAACACAGTGCCCCTCTCTATCTGAAGCCTAGCAAGGGAGGTACGTGGATCCCACTAGAATTTAAAATGGAAAGTAAGGGAGGGGAGGCTCTGGACCTGATACAGTACCAGGCGCGTAGGAGGATTTCCACTTCTGAGCCATGACAGCAGAAATTGACTTTTCCTTTCCAGATTTAGCTAATATTCAGAAAGGGAATCTAGCACCTGCCTTCCAGATGTGAACACCTCAAAATTCAGGCGTGCTCCAGCTCAGTTTGGAAGACAGTGATATTGCATTGGCAAATTCCCCACAGAAACAAAGAATGGAACAAAAGAATAATAAAGGCACCTCAACTTTTCCTCATTTATGGAGGACAGTCTTATAATATGCATCCAGATATCCTCCAATCACACAAGCTGAAAATTGTTCCACTTTACTGCAGTTCTGTAACCATATGGGAACCAATCCTGTCTGTGTTCTGTGCACATCCAAAATTCCTGGGAGCGAGTTACCAGTGACCCAGGGCTGGGGTGCGGGTGGGGGGAGGGCACTGGTGGGGGGGAAGGGGGGAGCCCAGAGCGGGGGCGGCAGGGGGGGGGGGGGGGGGGGCCCGGGGCTGGGGGGGGGGGCGGCCAACATTTTTTTTTTGCTTGGGGCGGCAAAAAACCTAGTGCCAGCCCTGGCAAGGAGTTCCACAGGTTGGCAGTGCATTGTGTGAAGAAATCCTTCCTATTGTTTGTGTTAAACCTGCTACTGATTAATTTCATTGGGTGACCCCTAGTTCTTGTTTTATGAGGAGTAAATAACACTTCCATATACACTGTCTCCACACCAGTCAAGATTTTATAGACCTCAATCATATCTCCCCTTAGACATCTCTTTTCCAAGTTGAAAAGCCCCAGTCTTTTCAATCTCTCCTCATACAGAAGCCATTCCATACCCCCAATCATTTCAGTGGCTCTTTTCTGAACCTTTTCCAATTCTAATGTATCTTTTGTGAGATGAGGTGACCAGATCTGAACGCAGTATTCAAGATGTGGGTGTACCATGGATATATATACAGGAAATATGATATTTTCTGTCTTATTATCTGTCCCTTTCTTAATGATTCCCAGCATTCTGTGCGGTTTTTGACTGCTGCTGCACATTGACTGGATGATTTCAGAGAACTATCCACAATGACTCCAAGATCTTTCTTGAGTGGTAACAGCTAATTCAGACCCCATCATTTTGTATGTATAGTTGGGGTTATGTTTTCCAATGTGCATTACTTTGCATTTATCAACATTAAATTTCATCTGCCGGTTTGTTGCCCAGTCACCCAGTTTTGAGAGATCTCTTTGTAATTCTTTGCAGTCTGCTTTGGATTTAACTATCTTGAGTAATTTAGCGGGCGTCAGCTCCTGGTACCAGATCCTGTTTGTGCTCTATCTGGCCCCCCATGGGTCCTCCCAGAGCCTGTTGCAAAGCTGGGGCCGTAGCCCCGATCCGGTGGGTCCATGAGAGGGCCTGGCCTGCTAGGGAGTGGGGCAGGGACTCAGTGGGGGGCGCTCTCCCCTCTCAGTCAGTGCTGGGAGCAGCAATACACCCCCCCCCCCCCCCGCTGCTCTCACGCCATTGAGCTGAGCCTGGGACCTGAAACCTGGTGCAAGGGGGGGGGGATCCCCCCTCTGCTCCTGCCCTGATTGGCCCGGGGCTGGGGGGGGCATCTGAGCAGAGCCAGACAAATGCAGAAGTTTGACGAGACGTGTGGCCCGGAGCAGAACCGAGAACATGTGGGTGACCCCAGCCCCTCATCCTGCGGCCCCAACCCCGGCACAGCTCAGATCCCCTGCCAGGATGCGGCTGCCTCTGCTCCTCTGCTGGGCTTGGGGGGCCCTGGCTGGTCAGTGGGGACCCCCCCCGGACCTTTTCGCTACTGGGGGTAGGGGTGTCATCGTAGGGTCAGAGTGGGGCAGGGGGAGACCTGATGCCAGGGATGAGGGGTGCTCAGAAGACTGGGACTGATTCATCGTGTTCCCCCCCTGCTCCGTCCTCCCCTTTCCTCCCCCCCTCACCCCTCCATCCTCCCCCCCTCTGCCTCCCCCGCTCCGTCCTCCCCCCTCGCCCCCCAGCGTCTCTCACACTCCGGCTGCTCCGAACCGCCCTCTGCCACAACGCCAGCTCCACGGACACACAGGGGACGGCCCTGCTGGGCGACCTGGAGACCCACTCCCTGAACTGCAGCACCTGCGAGATCCGCTTCCTGCAGCCCTGGGCCCAGCAGGGCCTGACCCCGAAGCAGTGGCAGGACTTGGAGCTGCTGATCCATCGCTCCCTGTCTGACTTCTTCCGTCTGGTGAACAAAGTGGTTAAGGATGAAGGAGAGGGCTGTGAGTATGGAGCAGTCTGAGGGGTCCCTTCCACTACCCGCCAGACAGCTGAGAACTGACACACTCCCCACAGCGATTGAGTGTATCCTGGCAGGGTGGGGGAGGGCAAAACAGTCAGTCCCTGGCCCTTCGGCTGATTGAAGCCAACATTCCCTAGAAGGGAAACACCCCGTGTCCCATTCTCCACCCCACTGAGCCAGTCCCCCGCTCTGGGGCCGGATTGTAGCCTGTGCACCCTAGAGGGAAAAGGCCCCGTGTCCCATTCTCCACCACACTGAGCCAGTCCTCCACTCTGGGACCGGATTGTAGCCTGTGCGCCCTAGAGGGGAAAGGCCCCGTGTCCCAGCCCTGACCCTACGCTCATGGCCACGTGTCCTACCAAAGGCCTTTGTGGAAGGAGCATGTAGGCTGCTCACGGTGCCACCTATCCTCCCGAACGACATTGAAAACTGACACTCTGCAAACCATGAAACCCCCAACACAAGAGCAGGAAATGCAGAGCTAAGATAGTGCCTCCCCCGCCCCACAACCAGCGCTGCCCCAGGGCATGGGACAGACCCAGCTCACCTCTGCTCAGCGGCTCAGCCCAGGGTCTGCACTGGGTGTCTGGGGCTGGAGCACTAAAAGCAGGTCCTGGGCGAGACTCTCTCTCAGGAACCCCTTAACCACCTGCCCCCAAATTTGCACCACAATGTCTCTCCTGCACCTTGCTGGAGGAGAGCTAGTGTCACGGCAATCTGCCTGGGCAGGTGCGTTTCCCGACAGAGTGACAGCCGGCCGTGTGATCACAGCTCACAGCCGCAGGAACCGCTCGGTGACAGGGCTTGGACGGATCCTCCCGGGGCTCCGAGGTTGCAGCCCCTCCCGCTGAGCGAGTGTGTGACTCGGTGTGTCACGCCCTGAGGTGCTGCTGAGGAAACAATCCCTCGCAGAGGTGTGAACTGTCTGTGGGCAGAGGTGCCACCGCCCGGCGTCCCGCTCCACAGACAGAACCAAGGCCCGGGGATTTGTGTAACGTTGTGTTGGGAAGCCAAACGTGTCCTTGCTACCGGTGCAGAGCCGAGCTCAGGGGAGCCCAGGGGTGTAAGTGTATTGAGGCTCAGGGCCACAGTTTTCTTTTGAGCAGCACAAATAACTTTCCAAAAAACTATAGATTTAAAGCAGGTCATTTGGGGGGGTCTGTATCTCAGCAGCCCTGTGACCAGGGGACCCCAAATTTGCACCACAGACTCTGCCTCAGGCCCCGATGTAACGCAGTGATTTTCAAGCCAATCTGACTGTGCACGTGAAAAATCAGCTTGAAATAGAAACTGCAACGTACCCTTAACTCCAGCCAGGGCCGTCCCACAATCCCGCCACCATCTTGTGGCCAAACATCCACATTGCACCTGACATTATGTATTCTCCCATTCTGCCCCCAACCCTGCCCCCTGTGACCCTCCGGACGCCCGTCCTCATCCCCCTGCCCTCCCTGCTCCAGCCCCCTTTGTTACCCAGTTCTCCAGTGGCTGCGAGCTGCCTCCCAACGGCTCCTCGACTCAGTTCTGTGATGCCGGGATGAACGGCGAGGACGTCGTGAGCTTCGACGCGGACGCCGGCGCCTGGCTCGCTGGGCGGGGGGACAAGCTGGCACTCGAGGCCTGGGACCGTCTCAGCCGGGACAGGGGCATGACCACCACGCTTCAGTTTCTCCTGAGTACGATGTGTGTCAATGGGATCAAGAGCTTTGTCCAGCACGGGAAAGAGTCTGTGGAGAGACATGGTGAGGCTGGGCCCCAGGCTCCCAAATCCCTCGAGCACCTCTCTGCCCACAGCCCCACACTGGGATCAGCTCCCCACTGCTCTCATGTCCTTCAGGCTGGGCGGTGTGCAGGGGCTGCGTACAAAGGGATCTCTCACCGGGCGCAGAACTGCGGCTGCCTCTGGGGTGGGGCGTGGGGCTGGTTTCTACAGGGATCTCCGGCCTGGCGTACAGACGCAGCTACATTGAGGGTGAAGCACAGGAGCTAATTTATAGCTGCACTGCACAGCAGTTTAGGACAGGAAGTGAAGGGGTTCTGTCACGGAGTGTGGGGGGGACACAGGGCCCTGCACCCCCGGCTTCCTGCGATTCACCATGACTCTCAGCCAGCCAGTAAAGCAGAAGGTTTATTTAGACGACAGGAACACAGTCCAAGACAGGTCTTGCAGGCACAGACAACAGGACCCCCTCAGTTAGGTCCATCTTGGGGTCCCCGGGCACCACAGCCCCCTTGGGAGGTCAGAGCCCCGTCTGCCTCCCAGCCATATCACCAGCTAGCTCCTGAAACTCTGCCTTCAGCGACCCCTCCCGCAGCCTTTGTTCAGTTTCCCGGGCAAAGGTGTCACCTGGCCTCTAACCCCTTCCTGGGTTCTCATGTTACATGCTCAGGTATTCTCCCTCGGTCAGTCTCCCATCCCCCCATGCAGACCGTCCTAGCCACACTCCCCTGTCAGCATTCAAAGACCACAGTAAGAACAGTCCCAGTTCGTCACATCTTCCATCACAAATTGTAAGTGAATAATCCCCTCTCCTCTGCCCCGTCTCTCTCCCTCCTGTCTCAGAGCGGCCGGTTGCCATGGTGTTTGCCCGAGCGCCTCCCCCAGCCGGGACCCCCGCGCCGGTACTGCTGGTTTGCCGGTGTAACGATGCTGGTTCTGGCGGGACCCAACTGAGAGTGCCAATTCAGGACAAATCGCTTAAAACAGGGCAGTTACAACCTAAGGCTGGGGTTTTTCCACCTCCAAGGCACCAAACCAGCCAGCCAGAGAGGACTTCGGTCTCACCCCACTGGCTAACCACAAGTCACACAAGCAATTCCCTCAGACACTCCAGTTTCCCAGTATCACCACCAGTGCCACTCGTTATGGGGACAAATGGTTATGAAAACCAATATCCCAGTAAAAGAAAAAGGTTCTCCTGATCCCAAAGGACCAAGCCCCAGACCCAGGTCAATATACAAATCAGATCTTACCCACAAATCACGCTGTTGCCAATCCTTTAGAATCTAAAATCTAAAGGTTTATTCATAAAAAGGAAAAAGATAGAGATGAGAGCTAGAATTGGTTAAATGGAATCAATTACATACAGTAATGGCAAAGTTCTGGGTTCAGGCTTGTAGCAGTGGTCTCTGGGGGCTTTTCCTGCACGTCCTGAGTGGGACGGGGGTGGGTCCAGGCAGCGGGATTGGGGCGGAGGGAGGCAGAGGGGGTGGGTGGGGGGTGTGGAGATGGATCAGGGGGAGCAGGATGGAGGAGCTGAGGGGAACGGGACAAGACTGGGATGGGGGAGCAGGACTAGAGTGGGGGGAAGCTGAGGAGGTGGGAAGCTGGGGGGAGAAGGGGTGGGACTGCAGGGGAGGCTGAGGGAACAGGGTGAGAGTGGGGGCTGAGGGCAGTGGGTCAGGTGAGATGATCGGGGGTGGGGGGACTGTGTGGGAGGCTGCCCACACTCCTGTCCCCGTTCCCAGCACGGCACCCCCTGTTTTACAGAGCAGAGCAGGCCCTGGGGCCCCGGCCTGGTCGTGGGCATCACCCTGGGGGTTCTGGCCGTAGCCGCCGTGGCCGTGGTGCTGTGGCGGAGCAGACGCAGGTGAGTCCTCCCCTCTCTGGGGTGGGGCCGTTGCACCCCCTAACCCATCCCCTCTGCTCTCTCCTTCCAGGGGCTACCAGGATGTTGGACCAGGGGAGTCCAGGGTCTGAGGGGGCAGCAACGGCCCAGGCGTGGAGATCGGCCCCTCTCCTGGGCACATGGAACTCAGGGCTGGGTGTGTGCCCAGCTCCAGAGCTGAGGGCCCCGAGGGCAGGACTGGATTGGGGGTGGGGTGGCACTGGGAGATTGACCCTTTGGGTGCAGGGGGATATGCCAGGGGCTGGGGGGGTGTCTGCTCCCCAGGTTGTGCTGTGACCATTGCACATGAGGGGGCAGGGATCCAGGGTCCCCAAGGGCCACTGCACTCACTGGGTTAATCTTTCTATCTACCCAGTGGGACTCAGTGCTCAGTCTAGAAGAAACCATCAGAGATGGTAGTTTTGCAGTTCTCAAACTGTGGATTTGTGTCTCCAGAGATAACATGCTTGTTAACAGCAAAAATGTTTGTAAATCAATAAATAAATAAATATATAGAGAGGTGAGA